ACCGTAGTAAATGTAAGCAAAGTTTTTTTTTTATTTTCTGCCCACGTTTAAAGTCTGACTCCAAGAAAAATACGAAGTAATAACTTACGCCACCGGCCACCATCCGACCAAAATTTCGAAGAAAATGAAATGATTGTTAAGTTTGTGCTTTCTCTTCACAAGATGGGGACAAACAGAGGAAGTGAAGTGGCTCACCGAGGTTCATTGAGAGAGTGGTTTAGCTTTTATTTCAAATCATTGTGGTATGGAGAATACCACAGAGTGTAGAAGCATACTGTTTGGTGTTAGTAAGGGGGCTGATGTTGAAATAACCCCGCAGACAACTAAGTATATGCGTATGTCTGCGTATGTCGTCGGAATGCAGGGGGAAGTATTCATACAAAGACGGTTCATGAATTCCTTATACGTGGCCTTTACGTTTTATGTTCACAGAGAATATTGGTTCTGAGAGTGCTCGTTACCATCCTGTTCAGGACCTTTCTTCTATCTGCTATCGAAATCCTAAACTTACAGACCTGTAATAGCATCTGTTTTGTAAGGGCCTTAAACTTCTGGTCCTAATGGGGCGAGATTTTTCTCTTCTTCACGAAGTCCCGACCTGTTCTGGGGCCCGCCCAGCCTCCTATCCGGGGTATATCGGCCGGAGCTTGAAGCTGACCTCCAACTAGTGCTGAGGTTAAAAATACGTGGCTCCATTCATCCACTCCCCATATGCCTTCATGACGTAGGGATTACTTTACTATTTACCGGATGTAGGAACATAGGACGAATATATTTTGGGGGCAGAGTATGTGTGACTGAAACAGTGGTAGTATCAGGAAATGAAAACTAAAAACTTTACGATCAAAACAAGGAGAATAAAAAGTGGGTGGGTCATATATCATGGATTCATATCGTGATGTTCACAGCTATAAAACCGCACAGTCTGGTAGGTTGGTAGCATCATTTATGATGAACATATTGTCTCTATCTTAAGGGTAAAGACTTTTAATTATATGGTATGTATCATGAAATCTATTTTCACACATGGGTCTTATGCTAAATGGAACAAGGCTTCGCATTGCATTTTTATTTTTAGTCTTGAATCTGATTTATTCAGAGGCAAATTATGCTAAAATGTGAAATAAAATCATGCTGACCGCACGTATCGCGTTCTGTTCATTACTGATATAGGAAACTGTTTTTACATGCAGAAATGTCGTCGCCTTAATGTGAACAAAACTTATACACAGTTCCAGTCGCCCAGACGCTTGACGGATTTAAGTTTCTCCAATCGCTGAGTATGAAGTACAGAACTGCAGAAAACATCCCTAGGTTTTCGTTTCTAAGAAAATTCTCGGCAGCCGAAAGCATTGAATTTCTTACTTTCACATAGACCGGAACTTTGACGTTTGTTATAACAGTAGAAAGTTGTTTTTCTTAGGTTTCCATTTGTAATGAAACCGCTGCTGCAGGCTTACATCCGTTTGGGCTGCGAACCAGATAGTGCGGGGGGGGGGCTGTGGAGAGTAAGCGTGTTTGCGGCTATCCCGTCGAGAGTCTGCGGTGTCGAGGCCAGCAACTGAGGGTTCTTGTGGTCGGTCTGCGCTAGCCGCAACGCCTGCTGGCCACGTTGTACGCTTCTCAGCTTCTGATATTTGTAATGTGTTACTTTATTACATATGTAATAATTAGAAGTTTTTACCGTCACACAAACGATTATTTTAAGAACATTTGTTTCTTCTTAGTTTAATGCAATAAACCGTAATCTGCGCACCCAGATATAGCGGGTTTCGGATATAACGGACAAAGTCTGGCAGGGCTTTTGGTTTTTTAAATAAACTTGTATGAAGGCCAAAAATGCTAGTAAATATTTGTGTAATATAAATAAAAAATGATGTTCTATGCACTTGTCAGTTTTGTTTCGTATTAAACTACACCGTGTATAATTGTGAATTTTTAGAGATACTGAGACTCTAAGAAGGTTTTATAGTTAGAAAACAATTTAAAATATTTATTGCTTGTATTGGCTATGTATCCTGTTGTGTACTTCCGTGAATACCCCTTCACTCAGTTATAGCGGGCACCATGTCCCTCTTGGCCCGTTATAACGAGGGTTTATGTTTCTACCGCGATTGGTCATCATCAGGTGCGAATACAGGTTAATAGTTTTAAGTAAGCTGTAAATTAAAAGTTGGTAATTAGGCCGGATCGAACTTAAGTAAATGCATTTATATGGAAGTACGAATATTTTAATGTCACGTGTTTTAGTGACTAATAACACGATTTCGGGATTGGATGAACGGGTTTATTTACGCCTTATACACACCATCAGTAATTACACGTAAATATGGCGCCATCGCTATTTCTACACTTTATAATTCACTGTTACGCATACACACCAGTCTTCTCCCGGTAACGCAATTAACATAGGAACTATAACAGTCTCACTGAATTACACACTCCAGATATTACACATTCTGTCTTCCCTTCACAGCCGCACTCATGCAACTGACTCTTTTCTTCACAGCCTCCTGTACAGAACTGAACTCTCAACCCAACTCTAATCCAATTTCAGCTACAGGCTATTGTTATATAGACTGCGCACGAACCACACAGAAAACACGGCTACTGTTCTCGATTAAGGTTGTTTACCACTCTGTTGCATAGCAATAAAGGTCCTATTTTTGCGTGCTGGTGTGTTGGGATGTGTTTTCAGACCCGTTGCCTAACAATGGACTTCCGTTTTGTTCGTTGCTATTCCGCATTTTTAGACAGTGTTTACCGAACCGTTATGTAGAAACGGACCACGAGTATGAGTGTAGATATTCTCTGGTGCTGTATTATTACTGTGATCAAAAGGAGGTGAGATGGACAGGACATATAGCACGCATGGGAGGGGAGTGCATACAGATTTTTAGTGGGGAAATCTGAAGGGAAGAGAGCATTATAAATGCCTGGGCAACGACAGGAGGATAATATTGAAATGGATTTAAGAGATTAGGATGGTGCGGTATGGACTGGATTGATCTAGCTCAGGACAGGGACCAGTGGCGGGCTCTTGTGAACACGACAGTGCACCTTCGGCTTCCATAAAATTTCTTGAATGGCTTAGCAGCTGTTGGCTTCTTAAGAACGACACAGCTCCAGTTAGTTTTTACTGCGAAATTCTATCCCTTCATTTTAGGCCTATCGTTGTTTTGGGTAAATATTAATACTTTTGTATGAATATATATTTAATTGGCTCTAATCCAACCTAATTACCCACTTTTAATTTTAATTTTATTTGCAGCTTGCTCAAAATCTGTTTTCCTATGTATATACCCTCTGATGTTGACCAACTCTGGTCGAAACATGCGGTGAACTTAGGGAAAACAGTTGTTTTTAAAATGAAAGTTTGTGTGGCGGTGAAAGCTTCTGAGCATTAATGAAATCACAAAAGGGATGCAAAATTACAAAATTATTAGACATGCATACACTGGTTTGAACTTATATCCCTGTATTTCGGACGGCCGTACCGCGATACACTTGCAGTGCCGGGATTTCTGTTCAGTGAAAATACGCTTATTCAGTTGGAATGAAGTCAAGAAGAAACGGCATTTCAGAGTGACAAACTTTATGTTAGCCTTAGAGCTCAGTCCAGTCAGTACCAAGTTTCGCAAACATCCGAGTAACTATCGTTCTAACACCAGGTCCCAAAGATTCGGCACAGCTGGTACCAAATTCTGCTTTGAACTCGGTCTCATGCCTTCATTTTCACAACCTCTTTCCCTTCGTGTTGTCTTCTCATCTTCTTCTTGGTCATCCTAGCGGCCGTTTTCCAGCCGAACACTGCATTTTTAGCCTACTTCCCTTATTTAAAAAAAGTAAATGTAGGCTTATGAGATCACCGCGCTGTTTGTATGTCTGTATATTCTGCCCCCCCCACCTCCCAAAAATTTTGATTGCCTTGAGCAATCTGTATGTAACTTGGCATGAATATTATGGAACCTGAGCCCATCTAAACGGCCTACTTCATAAATCCTTCCCATCAGTTTGTGTGTATGTCTATCCCCCTATCGTTGATAGGCAACGGCTCTTTTTTATTTTCGTTTGTGCGTATATAAATGTGTAAAAGGCTGCAGGACAAGCTCACTCTACAGTTATTATTAAGAGGGATCGGTAAAATTTAATGATGGTACGTGTAGGATGGCAACGTCGCTGAAATACCTACTGAAACGTCTGATCATGCGTCATAAAGTGGTTATTCTCTTAAGGCAAATGTGCGTAAAGTGGTTATTCTCTTAAGGCAAATGTACGTAAAGTTGTCACTGTTAACAGGCCGTGGAGGCGAATAGGGTTGTAAGACGTCGAGTTTCCCACATTTTCTAGACATTCGGCTCACAAACGGCGGTAAGGCTGTCAGCCTTACGCGCCGGCCGCCCTTTAACCCCCAGGAAGGTCCTAGTACTCATTTCTGTTGGTGGCTGAGTCGACTCCAGGCTCATATTGCGACTAGTAGGATTAGGTGAATTGAAAAATCGAGTGTCCTCAGCGGGAATCGAACCCGCGACCTTCCGGCTTTGTAGCATAGTGCCTTAACCAACTACGCTACCGCACATCCCTTATTACCTTCAGACAGAAGGTATATGAGTGCTTAATTTGATCACATAAAATTTATTTATGAATGTTAACGTTAAGGTTGCTGAAACGTTTTGCTATTGAGTGTATGTTTTGATAAATATTGCTTTCTAGCTACGGAAAATTAGTCCGAAGAATATGCAGTGCGTAAAGAAGTAGGAGTGCTCAGCCGATGTTTGTTTCACATTCTAGAACTTTTGGTTTCCAGGGTTACAACACTTCCTGCAGAGCGGAATTTACCGACTGTAACACCGTGGCATGTGTATGTGTATTCACGTGTTAGTGTAATGTGTTATTTCAGGTCCGTTTTGGAGAATGTCCAGGAATATTAATTGGATCATGACAGTTCAGTTTACTGTGACAGTATTTATCTTATGTTCTTTTTATTTCCCATGTTGTAGCCTTAAGTTGGAGTGCGAAAAGTTGGCGAGTGAAAAAATAGAAATTCAAAGACATTACGTGATGGTGAGTACTGCAAGGCACTGTCTGTTGAGGAACTGACGCTTTGGAGGTTCGTGCAGTGACGTTTCCCGCATACCTGCCAAGAATAATGTAGATGTCGCCGCGTAGGTTTTTTAAAATAAATTTTTATCTTTGATCTGGCATATGAAATTTGTTACATAGCCAAGAATGTCAATTAAGGAAATTAAAAGTGTTTCATGTAATATAATTTTGTAAACTTACTAAATTATATGCTTAATTACGAAAATGAACGATCTCCAGTCATGTCATGCTATGTAACGAGTGTTGAATTTCTCATACTTTTAGTTTTGTTGCCAGCTTTATGTTCCATATTATCCCGCTCCGTGATTTGCGTGTGAAATATTTAGGTTGTCATCTTGCCTGGACCTTACGAATGGTGACCACAAACCTCAGAACACTTAGTCAGTATAATGTCAGTAATATTCCGAGACTCAGCATAAGTGGACAAGGCACCCTGCTGTACCATACACAATTCGACCACTCTGTATAAACGTTGGTAGTTATTCGGCGTGCAGTAAACAGTTAAGCATGCATTGATACATCCAAGGTCTCTTGGACTTTGTGCCTCAGAATTCGAATTGGATTTTTGTAACGTAAAGCCCCGCTTCCGCAACCGAGCGGTCTAAAGCTTGCACTGTCTTCGCTCACTCTGAAGCCGGGATTGTGGGTTCGAATCCCACACAAGACATGGATTTTTGGTGTGTGTATGAGTTTATTCTGTGTTGTGTTGTCCTGTGTTTAGGTAGAGGCCTTGCGACGAGCTGATCACCCGTCCAAGGAGTCCTACCGTCTGTAAAAACGATTAATGAAACTGAGTAATCAGCCCTATGTTCCAAAGTGGGAGCGAAGAATAGGAAGAAAAAATGTTTCTGGTGACAAATAATGCATTTACAAATACGTTGATTTTACTTCCTGTGTGATCTGGTCCTTTGACCCTGTCTTTTTTGCACCAAAAATCAGTAAATAATGGCAGTGTTGCCGTTTTTCATCAAAAAATTACAATTGTGGGCTCTCTTTGAATCTTCGAGACTCAGCTTTGTAATAGTATCCGATTCCCGGTAACGTCTGCATACTTTTCAAATGCTGAGTGTTTTATGTCCAGGCATTCATGACTTAGGTGTGATTGGTCACGAGATTTCATGGGTTTCTGGGTCAGTGTGCGCAGTTCGAATACCGTGAGATGTTGCCTTCGAAGTGAATGTGTAGATCTTTGTGGTCGTGAAGCGGTTCCACACGCAGTTACGAAAGCGAAACGTCCGCTGCACGAACCCCCAAGCAACGTTCAGCCACATGTTTCATGTGTGTGATGCTTCGCTCGCTCTGTGCTTGGTTACTTATGCAATCATTTGTTTATGTGCCGAAGCTACTCTTGCACTGTGGAATTATGGGTCGTTACATTAGCCTACGCTAATCCATAACGTTATGTTATATTGCTCGTATCATCTACTAACCCATAACTTTCCAGCCTGCAGTCTGTATGTTTGTCTGATGTGTTTTAATAGACATGTAAATATTTTATGATACTTGCGTGAGTGTATGTATATCAGTCCTATTTTTTTTGGAGGCTTTCAATATGCATGGAAATAGTATTCATGTCATTAACATTTCCCTTTTTTACCATTTTTCCCTTTTGTTTTCTTTCACGAGATCGTTTATTAATTTCAGTTTAAAAATGGACTGCGAAAAACTAATGCAGGAGAAAACAGAAATGCAAAGACATTATGTGATGGTGAGTACAAATTTTACAGCAATGTCTGCTGGCCTGGTAAATAAAAATTGTGTATAATTTCTGAGTAGTGTTGTTCATGTGTGAGGTATGCGGATAGTCGAACGAAAAGTATGTGCCTCGTATGAAATTTCCGAAGAAAAATATCTATGAAAAAGCCACCTTACCACTTCCCCATAGTTTAGACTATTTGTCGTGAGGTTATGTTATGTGGCGCCGAGCGTCCGGACAAAAGCCAGTGTGCCCTTCAGTGCCTGGCCATAGCAATCCGCACCAAGACAGTGAGACGCTTAACAATTTCAAGCAGCCTGCTGGACCGGCTCTTTTGTAAACACGAGTCTCAGGATTCAGAGAAGAAAAAGGTCGTGGTTTGTTTTTAAAGTATTTTGCTGGATCAACCCCGAAAGACCCGAGAATATCGGGTACCGACAAAAATTAGAGCAAGTACCTCCATGAATACGAGGGCACGCGGTAGCGTAGTTGGTTGCGGCTCTGTGCTACAAGCAGGAAGGTTGCGGGTTCAAGTTCCGATGAGGTCATTGGATTTTTTCAATTGACCTAATCCTTCTGGCCGCACTATGGCCCTGGGGGCGACTCTGCCTCAAACAGAAACGATTACCAGGAATTAATTAAATAATTTTCCTGGGGAGTAAAGCGCGGCCTGCGCGTAAGGCTGACAGCCTCACCGCCATCTTTGAGCCGATTATCTAGATAATGTGGGACCCTCAACGTCTCACAACCCTATGGGCCTTCACGGCCTGTTACAAGGATAGATTTACTTTTTTTACCTCCATGAATACGGATCCTTCCCTCCACCTCATTTTCTTTAGCGAAACGAACTTTGTGTAAGTACAAATCAGATTCATTCTCTCATGATAATTAGCAGATCCCAACATATAACGTGAGACTATTTTGGAACGATTTCTTTAACTTGAACTCCTAGAAGAGGGACGTTCGCTTATATCAACAACAAAGAAAATGCGTGGAGTCATATGTAGGATGTTATGCAGTTGGTAAGATGCCATTACGTAAATTGTTAGCAAATAGGAGTAATAATCACTTCAAGTAGTACAATTAGATAGCTGCAGTGAATCTGACATGGGTTGTTCAATGGCTGAGGGTAGCTCCTTCTAAAGAACCACAGTAGGTGTCTGCCCCTCACCTGAGGACGGAAACAGAACGAGTTTTCGAAAGGCTGTGTTTTTCTTTGCGTTGATACAATACCGGATATTGGACAAGTCCGAAACCTGAATAATTCTGAGTGTTATACACCATCGTCAGAATCTACTTATACCTAGTTACGTTTTCAATGCGTCGAGTAGTGGCAGCACTCCCGATGCAGTTCCGGTGGTCACGGAGTGAGGGATCCAGTGCAATTCACGTAATAAGGACTGTATGAGACAGCGTTTGGAAGTGAGTGGAGAGGTCAAAGGAGGGCGGACGAATTCTTAATTTTGCTCTTTCGGGGCGGGCATCGACCTCGCTTGAATGGGTGGTAAGAACCAGATCTATCAGCGTTTGCGGGACAACGGAAGGGTCAGTGTCGATGATAATCTGCCATCATCAGACAGTGACGTAGGTCGTTATGTCATCATTAGAAAAATACTTGATTCTGTTTTCACCATACGGTGGGAGCCAGAATCGTCATCTCGGAAGTCTCATTGAACACAACGGACGTTTCTTCTGAAGGTATGACGTACCATCAGAGATTATTGAGACAAGAGTATTTCGTTTTAAGTGGACGTCACTCATGAAAAGTAATGCTGCAAGAATGGCATAGGCTCCAGAAATTATGTCAGATACAGGGATTGTGTAGGGAAATGAAACACGTCTAAATACTGTGTAATTGTTTTGAGAAAACCTATACAAATTTTACGTTTATAAGAACAATAACATTAGATACCTGTATAGAGGAATAAATGATTTTAAGAGGGGTTACCAGCCTAGCATTAACTTAGTGAAGGATGAGAATGGTGATCTGCTTGCAGATTCCCACAACATTTTGAATAGGTGGAGGAACTATTTCTCTCAGTTATTGAATGTGCATAGGGTCAGTGATGTTAGGCAGACAGAAATTGATACTGCTGAGCTGTTAATACCTGATCCTAGCCCTTTTGAGTTGGAAAGTGCTATTGCAAAATTGAAACGGTATAAAACGCCAGGTAGTGATCAAATTCCGTCAGAACTTATTCAAGCAGGAGGCGAAATATTACATTCTAAGATCCACAAGCTAAATACTTCTATTTGGCATAAGGAAAAATTGCCTGATCAGTGGAAGGAGTCTATTAGTGTACCAGTTCACAAGAAGGGTTATAAAACTGACTGTAGTAATTATCGAGGGATATCATTGCTATCAACTTCATACAAAATTTTATCCAATACTCTTCTCTCAAGGTTAAGTCCATACATAGATGAAATTATTGGGGATCATCAGTGTGGGTTTCGACGTAACAGTTCAACTAAGGCACAATAGTGCAAGGGCCAAGAAGGCCCACCCCTTATGCATTCAACAGTTCAACTACAGATCAGATCAGAGTCGAATGGTGGGACTAAAATGGATGAAAAATTGGAAATAATTTTGGAAGGAAATGATCTTGACCTACTTGAGACCTTATTCCGGCCGTTGCCTGGTTTCAGTGCCAACCTGTTGATATCGTGCTTCGGAGAGACTTGAAATCCATAACTACATTTCAGCAGTAAAACATGAAGTATAGAGACTACCTAGAAGGCGAGACTTATATGGGAAGACGTGACGCCTGAAAGAGCGGAATAGTGGAACTAGAAGAGGCGGTCATTGCTAGGCAACGGCCCAGTAAACATATCGAATAAGCATGCAAAAAGACCACGGAGCTCAAGGCTAGCAGCCGCAATGACTCTTGAAGGAATGCTTGGGGAGGTGTGGAACTGAGTCATGTGGCTCAGGGTGGGATCCATTTGTGAGCCGTTGTGAAGCATCTGCCCCATATAAAGGCTGGGAATGTTTTGACTGAGACAGTACGTGTATTAGCTTCTCAAGAAAAACTTCATTCTATGGAGTTAATGATGTGTGTAACACGTCGGTGTTTAATTTTCAGAAAGACAAGGTATTGCTATTATAACCAATCCTAAACCACGGAAAGGTCTAAGGTGGAGCATGTTCGTGGGCGATGTCACTACCGATTCAGGCTGTATTACCGACATTTGCTCCGTCTTTAAATTTGGTTTGTAATTATGCCTAGGTACACGATGCCATTATCCGGACACGGGATTTCATTCT